ACCCCAGTAAGTAATTTAAGTAGATGTGTTTGCATATAAAAAGTTGTGGCTACTTAGAGGCTTCTAGTTATACATATGCTTAAGTGCTGTGTTAGATCAAGGCCTATATTATTCACTTTAATGAGAAGCTTAATATTAATTACTTACAATGCATTCATAGGTGCATGGATATACAGAAAGACACTGAATAAAATTAAGGTAGAGTATAGAACATTCACGTAAATAAAAACTTGCAGATTGGGTAAAAAAATAACACTCCAGATGTAACTCTGAAAATAATTCTTTTGTGGAAGAAAAGTTATTTTAAAAATAGGCAACACACAGATAGAAGCTTATGAGGGAATATGATACTGCAATAACAGTTTACTAACACATGGCTGCTTCTGTCATCACCATTGCACCCAAAAAGGTTTCACATCTAACTTTCACTTCATATTAAAACCAATTAATTTAGAAACATTTAATACCTTCCAATGTAGTTATTTTCTAAAGTGTGAAATCTAGTGTAGCTGCTATGGAAGAAGCATTGTGTGAGTTCCAGCTATGTACTACACGGCCATGTAGAGAAGGAAGAAAAGCCCTGATATCCTCATGCATAGAATACAATATATAATAAAAAGATGAACTTGAGATTCTAACATATGTCAAAAGTGGAAAGTTGAGCATGGCAAGCAAAATCCAGAAAAATGTGTGTTTCTCCACTTTACTGTTGCTACCTTTACAGCCAGTCAACATTCATTTAATTGCATCTCCTACCTGCCCCCCCCCACACACACACACATTACAGGTATCACACAATTAATTGGTTATTTGCACAGTTTCCTGGGCCATTTGTAAATGTTACATTTTTCTAGTTTTAATCCGGACTACAGCTGTCACTATATACACGTGGATGTCTGCAGTCTGAATTAAAACTGGCTCCAGTTGAAATTAACTACTCATCATTGAACAAGGATTAAAGTTAATGCACACTAGGATAGTCCGCATTTGGTAATTTAAACTGTATTAATTAACATATACATAGAGCATTGTTTTTAGGAAAAACTTTTAGGAGTCCTTAGGAACTCACATAAGCATATAAGCATTGTAAATATCAATCTCCACAAGGGAAACTCAATTGGATCTTTGCAACACAACAGAGGCTATCAGGCACAAAGTAACACTTTTAAAAAAGTCAGTGTGCCAACAGAACTTCACCCTGACTACATATCAGGTCAGTTAGGGCTTCTGGAACAACACTTCCTCCATCCACCATAAATCCGGGGAATCCAGTAAAGTAGAAATCCTTGATTTTAGGAAAGCTGATTTCCACAAGCTTAGCGGATTGGTTGGCAAAGCCCTGCAGGACCATGGTCTGATGAAGAAGGGGTACAAGAAGAACATGGTCGAAGGAAGCAATCCTAAAAAGTCAAAGGAAGTCCATTTCCTTTCATAAAAAGGCAGAAGAAGGGCTGGGAAACCCCCTTGGCTCAGCAGGGAAGTCATGAACCTCCTGAAATTAAAATGAGAAGCATACAAAGGATGGAAGTCAGGAATAACTACCCAAGAGGAGTACTCAGCAACAGCCTGTACCTGTAGGGAGTAAATCAGGACAGCAAAAGCACAAACTGAATACAGATTGGCAACCAGAATCAAGGAAAACAAAAAGTCCTTCTTTAGATATGTAGGAAGTCAGAGAAAAAATAAGGGAAGCATAGGACCCCTACTGAATGAAACAGAAGGGCTGATAACCTACACTCCAGACAAAACCGAACTCCTGAATGAATACTTCATGTCAGTATTCCACCAGTCCAAGGGTGTTAGCCTGCTTGACAGGATACAGGATGATCATGATGGGAGTGACCACCCTCCCACAGTTCGCATAGATATTGTGGGGGAGCACCTACAAAGGCTAAATATGTACAAGTCAGCAGGACCAGATGAACCATGCCCGAGGGTGCTAATAGCTGGCCAATGTCATTGTGCGACCGATGGCAAAGTTATTTGAAAACATGTGCTGCTCAGGAGGTCTCATAAAATTGGAAAAAGGCCAACATGGTAGCTATCTTTAAGAAATGGAGAAAGGAGGACTAAGGAAATTACAGGCCAATCAGTTTGACCTCAATCCCTGACAAAATCCTGGAGAAAATGATAAAGGAATCCATTACAGACAGGCTAGCAGAAGGCAGTATTCTGAAGGATTGCCAACATGGCTTTGGTATGGGCAACTCATGCCAGACCAACCTCATTTCCTTCTATGATCAGGTGACTCACCATCTGGGTTGGGGAAATGAGGTTGATGTCATATACCTGGACTTCAAAAAGGCCTTTAACTGGTCTCCCACAAAATCCTTATGAAAAAATTGGGAAAATGTGGCCTTAACTACTTTATGGTTTGGTGGCTATGTAACTGGCTCTGTAGTAGGACCCAGAGAGTATTGACTGATGGAACTGAGTCATCATGGTGGAGGATGAACAGTGGTGTCCCTCAAGGTTCAGTGCTCAGACCAGTGATTTTCAACATGTTCATCAATGATTTGGATTCAGGTATTAGCAGCGAACGAGCAAAGCTCGCTGACGACACCAGACTAGGGGGGAGTGTGGTCATATACAACAACAGGCTGGCAATACAGGGCGACCTGGCTCATGAGGTGGGCAGACCTCAACCAGATGTTGTTTAATACAGAGAAATGTAAAGTGATTCATCTAGAGAGAAATAATCCACAACACATTTACAGGCTCGGCAGTGCTACGCTTGCTAGCACCACATCTGAATGAGACCTGGGTGTCATGACAGATAACAAAATGAATATAAGTCATCAATGCGATGTTGTAGCTGGTGAAGCTAATCAAACACTGGCATGCATCTACCAAGGCATCTCAAGCAAGGCTAAGGACATCTTCCTCCCTCTCTACTCAGCCTTGGTGAGACTGCAGCTGGAGTTCTGCATCCACTTCTGGGTGCCACACTTCAGGAAAGATGTGGAGAAGCTCAGGAGAGTCCAAAAGAGGGCCACATGCATGATTAGAGGCCTAGAGACCAGGTCATATGAGGAAAGGATGAAAGACTTGGGACTATTCATTTTGGAGAAAAGACGACTCAGAGAGGATTTGGTGGCAGCCTGTAAGTATATCAAGGGTGTACATCAGGGCCTGAGGGAGCATCTGTTCACCAAGGTCCCCCAGGGGAGGACAAGAAATAATGGGCACAAGCTGATTGAAGATCACTTCAGGCTAGACATAAGGAAAAGCTGCTTTACAAGTCGAAAGGTGAGGGTTTGGAACAGGCTCCCCACCAGAGGTGGTACAGTCATCCATCTTGGCGATCTTCAAAAAGCATCCTGACGCACATCTTGCTGAGGTCATCTGATCTCATCAGTCTTTCCTGCCCAAGTGCAGGGAGGCTGGAACTGAAGATCTATAAGGTCCCTTCCAGCCCCTAACAACTATGAAACTATGAAACTTTTTCTAGAGAATTGCAACAATGTAGCAGTGCTCAAACAGGCTTATTATCACCTCTTAATTACTTCCAGCCTCTATCAAGGCACTCTTAAGTGTATGGACAGTATATAGCCAGTGCCCCCTGCTATGATGGTCAATGATCACCTATTAACTCCTAATTTAAATTGAAATTTGATTCAAACTATGTGATTCCAATCAGTTAACATGGTTTAGAAAATGCTAAGCACATCTACAAACTGCCCTGGAGACCAGCTACATGTGCAAAGTAGCTATTATACAATAAAAAGCTCCAACCAGCTACAGACCTAAAAAATGTGTACTCCCAGCCATGGCAGTGCACAATGCCCAGGCAGAGTTGGGAGTCCCATGACTGAGTGGCCTCTCAATCCCAGCAGCTGCCACTGCATCCTGGCAGCATGGGGAACCCAGAGTCCCACAGCTGTGGACACTGAATGCATGAAACCCCTGTGGCTGAGGGATCATGGAAGCTGTGATCCCCAGCCTCAGGGGTGAATGAAAACCTCAGAGCTGGGGGATCAAGGCAGCCATGATCCCTCAACCTCAGAAATACGTGTGAAACCCCTGTGCTGGGGGATGGCTGCTACCAAAATCCCCAAGCCACAGGGGTGAGTGGGCTGCCCCGCAGCTGGAAACCCCTCAACTGAAGAGGCTCCCAGCTGCAGCAGCTTGCTTCTTGCCAGTGTAGGGGAAGCCCAATACCAGGCTCTCCCATCACCAGCAATGGGATCTAATGCATGATCCCATATCCACACCTCCTGCCATTCATGTGTGGCATGGCAGGAAGCATGATTGTGTGGACTACACATTAGATCCTATTGCACCTTTACCTGCATGTATAGAGACTACTTTGTTGTGTTTCCTCACCCTTTTCTGTACAGACCCACCCAGCCATCTCTGCCTCTCTGTCTGTTGCTCTCTCTATTCAGCTGTTTCCCAGTCTTCTGACTCCTGAGCTCTTTGTTTGTTTTCCTAAAGGGAAAGGTGTTCTCTTCTGACCATCTTCCTTAGTCTTTCCTTCATAAGAGATGCATCTTATTCCTCAATTGTCTTATAGTTAAGGTAGAGTAATAGCAAACCTATTTTAAGGATAATTTTGAAGCATTCAGCTAATATACATTCTGCAGTTGCCCGCTGGGCTGATCTAGGGCACCAGGATTTAAAGTGGGTTTACTGATCGAAGGCAAGAAGCAGCCTGCTGGTATGCAGTGACTTTAATAGCAGCTGGCATTTGTAAGAAGTAATGCTGGAAATCATCTCATACAATGCGGTCCATTGACATATGCATTTGAGCCTCTTTTCCTAAGTATTTCCTTGCCTTTCTGGTTGAAGGAAATAACACATAATATTTTTTGTTTTATAACTGATTATAACCAAAGCATGTTATTTTCTTTAAATCTGAGAGGGTATCGTTGAGGAAAATTATGAGGTATATTTGAGTTTGCTGTATTTGCTTCTAGGATTAAATAAAGAAAATAATTCAAGCATGTATTAAATGTGCATTCCTATCATAAAAAAAGGTAAGACAGATACATTCTTACTTCTGCCACTTTAACTGGTTTGATGTTTCCTTCATATGGGCATCCCAAAGCACAAGATACATACCTACAAGAAAAATAGCAGAAACATAAATATGTGACTAGTACAAATTTACATAATTATATATTGCATGCATCTGTATGTTGCATATAAAAAAATCTTACTGCAAATAGAAAGTTGTGTGCTCTAGTCAGAAAAGGCAAAATGAAGGTTCCAGCAACAAATTAAAGTTGCCTATGTTGAAGTTTTCTCTTTTTATTGTTAAATAAGTAGTTTAATATCCTTCTTTATGCTCAATGTATATCGCAACTTACAAAGGACTGATGTTATAAGCAAATTAATGTAGCTAGATAAAACTTAACTTTTCCATATTGTTGTCATTTTAAGAATCATCTTATTTCTCTGCTTTGCTGGCCACACAAGGCAGTAGAAGGTGTCCCTTACTTCATAATCCAGATATCTGGCATAAGGGATAGCTGTACTGCAAGAACAGACTCTATGTATTTATTACATCTCTTCCTACCAAATGTACCAGTTGACATTTCTACCCCTGAACAGCAGGGGAAATATGCTTGGTCATCTATCAGCATAGAAGGAAGAGCAAGGAAGGAAGACCATGAGTCACTATCACTTTGCCTTGCACAATGCTTCAAAGGTAGTACAACATGCACAAGCTACAAATGGGCCCGTTTTGAGAAATCTTAATGCTGCCTCACTGTGGAGACTGTTTTGAATTTCCATTTTTTATTACATAACTTGTGATATCTTGTGATAATTTAAGCATGTAAATCATCCCAGTTAAACTTTAAATTGCTCTTCTCAGCTCAATTAATGGGGGGATACAAGAGAGCTCACCTTTCCAGCTGTTTGCGTTTGGCTGGGGACAGCTCTCTGCAATGCTATGTTCCAGTTTTTATATAGAGCTATAGTGGCTTGAGATTTGAGGTTTGGATTTAAAGTGATCCAGTAAAACCAGTGCAAAAGACCATGTGGACACTTACCTTTGTTTAAACCCAGCTTATTAGCATGTCTACACTAAAAGAGTCTCTGCTACTTTAGTTATGTTAGTAGAGTCCCATAATAAAAACGCAGTCTATGTTAAGTGAAGGAATGATCCTACTTGCTTAGCTACAATTAACTTTTCAAACTCTGTATAGACATGTTAAAATACTTTTCTGTCAGCATATCTGCCTCTACGTCAGAAGTTATGACAGCATAATTATACTGGCTACAGAGTACAATTTTTCACATTTTTAGCCAAAACAGCTATGCTAGCAAAATCGTGTAGATGCGGTCTTCTAATGGCTTTGATAAACTGACTTGGAATACAATTAAGCTAACCAGAAATAAGCCTCTATAACACTGAAACAAAGGTCAACACCAGGGATCCAGGTTTTCTCTGATTTAAAAAAATCCCCAATTTTCAGTTAAAAAAAGGAAACCCAAATCCACATTTTTCTGTGATTTAAATGAAAAACTGCTAATATACAGATTTATATATATTAGCAGTGTTATACATCCCATCCCATCCCATCCTAAGTCACAGTAGGTCACATTCTCCCCTGCATCTCAGGGACCCCTCACTAGGGGGCCTGCTAGCCTCAGATGGTGCTCATCTCCTCTGGGTGAATACCAGCCCAGCCGTGCTCCCAGGATGCTACAGAGAGGAGAAAGAAAGGGCTCTGTCTCCTCTCTGCAGGGCCGGGTGGAGGCATGGAGCCCCTGTGCCATGCAGGCCCCTCAGGTTGCTTGTTCAGGTCTTGTGGTGGGGCCAGGACAGGTCTGTGTAGCAGGGTGATCCTTCCCCCCCACCCCCAGTTCCCAACATGGCCAAAAGCTAGATCAGCCAGTCCCCGGATGCAGCTGCTGGCTGCAGCTGCCAAAAGGTTGGGATGGTAGGGGCCTCCCACCATGTGCACCCAGGCTGCCACCAAGATACAACCCAGCAATGTGGAACGGATCTATGCTGCACTGGGGCTCCTTCCCCACCTCTCTTACCCCTAGCCACTGTTGATAGTTGCCAGCTAGTGGGGGAGAGGACAGGGCTTGGGAGGGGCCACTCCTGAAGCTTCCAGGAAGGCATGTGGGAGTACCTCCCACCTGCTGGCCTTGGCCAGTGGGCAAACTCTGAGCTGACCTCCCCCCACCGAATGGTGAACGTCTCTTTGGTCCATTCCTCTTCTAATTTATACCGCGCTTTAAGTGAAGCATTATAGTTCGAGCCCTTATGCTAGGGCCTTATTGAACATTAGTACTTAGCCATTTTCCATATAACTATCCTGTCCCGTAGGACCCTAACATATATTAACTTAAAGGCACGTATATGTGGAAAGAAGGTCCGTATCCCAGGTTACCCCTGCACTGGCAACAGCAGGTTTGAAGTTCCCTGAACTTTTCTAGCTGGGACCCCCTGGTGAGCTGAGCAGGAGCTCCCAGCCTCTAGAGCACAAAGGAGTCCTGAAAGGCTCTAGTATGCTCCAGCTGTTGGAAGCATTTGTCACACGTTCAGTTAAAGGTGGAACCAGTCACAAAATTATTAAATATATTTTATATAATAACTTTGTGGCTTAGTCCTTGTTTTATTGCACCATTAATTGTATGAACGTGTGGCCAGGTCACTGCTTAAAAGGTGACTAACCAGTTAAACATGTCTTAAGTGTCAGGGGCCTTCAACTAATATATTATGTTTTGAGGGAAGAGGGGGACAAGATTTTGTTTTATTTGTAAGATTATGATTCCAGGCAGCAGGTAAAAAGCAGGAGGTCCTGCATTTGTTTAGATCTTGAATAGGCAAGATAAGAGAGTTTACATTCTGGTTCCACAGGAGACAGAGGTTGGGTCTATTACATTCTGCTAATAATGTTAGCAGATATTTACCATGCATGATTTCAATGTTCTCTGTATTATTATAAAATGCAGTTTTTTATACACTTGGTTTTATACATAATCCAACAGAACACATGTAAGCATCAGAACTAGATTTTTTTAACTTATCTATGAAAACAAACGTAGCCTTTTTACAAGCCATAGATACCTTTTTTCCAACAACAAAATTCAAAAACAGCAAAGCAGAATTTCTTTTTAAGTTTAAACACACATGCATGTGCATACACAGAATCCTGCAGACAGAATGAAGCATGGAAATTTTTAGACCTCAAAAAAGTTTTTCCATAATATTATGGTGTCTTGAGTTAGTGAAAACAAGTGTTCATAACTGAAACTGTTCTGACCTAAGGTACAAACTGGATATGAATTGGCACTCAGTACAAATTAAATCAATTTTACAAAATGTATAGTTCACACACATATATGCTACATTTAACATATTTTACATGTATATGTATATAACAGTACAATATATTAAATCACAATGAATCACATCTGATGGCAACATGTGGCATGAATAAAATGTGGAGTAGAGCAAACAAAGGTAAAACAGGTGCAAATGTACTTAAAGAACAATAACATACTTTGCACAACTCACACAAGCTAGCAAAAATCCTTCGGTACTTATATAACATAACAGGGACTTTTGGTGGATGAAAGGGTGTGATAATTTGTAGAATCTATCTGTATATAACATTTTTTTTTAATTATGAACTCTTTCAATACTTAATACCTTATCATTATATTGAGTTTAAGGCAATTAAACTGGAGAAGATAAGAATAAATAAAAGATCATAGAATCATAGAATCAATGAGTCAGAAGAGACATAGACAGATCATTGAGTCCGACCCCCTGCCATTGGCAGGAAGGAGCACTGGGGGTCGGAGGGGTCATAAGACC